GTTATTTCTGGTGTGAAATAGGTTATTTTTGACAGCCACGCGAGGAGCACCAGGGTTAATGTATTCAAATACATTACAATTGCTGTTTATAAATACAATGACTTCAATGTAGTGTTGTCAAAAGTACCGATATCACAATTGACCATTGTGGTGTGAACACAATGGCCAATCAGAGCTGGTGGTTGATTGCGATTTCACTTTTTTAACGTTAGTTAGTGTGTAATGTTGCTGTTTGAGCATAAACAACATCTGCAAAGTTGCGGTGCTAAATTCAATGCAAACGGAGATTTTCGGAGTCTTTTAAAATTCTGGCAAAAACAGCTCGTAGGGACTAACCCCGCCCTCGGGAACACGCAACGAAGTGGGCGAGGCCATGCTGCGCTGCTTTAGAGAAGAGGAAGAAAAATATGTCTCTCTCTCAATCTCATTCAGAACACCAACTCAGCTCAAACAATGAACTGTTCCATTTATACACTTATTTTCACATAACTATGAGAAGCGTTAAACATGGATCATTAAGAGCCGTGCTTGCACAGGTTCTGCGCGATCCTCTTCACTAATATCCTCTGTCTCAATCGGGTACAAATTGATAAGCAATATAGACGACGTCATTGTTTACAATACAACCAGAGCACATGTCGCTGAGGTGAGGGGCGGGACGTTAGATGCGCACTAGAGGCGGTTTAGCCAATCACAACAGACTGGACTAGCTAACCAATCAGATTATTGCTTATTTCTGAGGGATTATGCTTCATAAAAGCAGGAAATGATCAGCGCGTTTATACGAGATGGGACAGAGCGGTGTGGAATAAAGGTAAATTATGTGATATCAGTGGATGATATCATATATCTGCTCACAGACGGATCCGACACAGACATATCTGTTGAGCACAAGAACACAATGGCCAATCAGAGCTGTCTGAGAATGCACACAACCGCTCAATGCTAGCGGCAAATGCTTGTATCGTCACATTTTTTAAATTTCAGTGCTGACGTCGGTACTTTTGACAACACTACTTCAATGTATTATGTATGAATTTTTAAATTCGGTTTTATTGAGGCATAAAGTCAAAATTGTCAAGGTTATACAACTGGCCTGAGATCATATTGAAGAAAAAAGATTTATTAAAAAACTTAAGTTGGTTGGCAAAATATTTTATTATTTCCTTGATTAAAAATTATATCAGAACCTTTAAGTATTGTGCCTTACATCTGAGTGAAACCGATTTTGAAAAAGGAAAAATGTAGGGATGGACTTTTGTGTTTATTGAATGTTGATTGAATGGAGGCAGATCTGAATGCAAGCTTGCAGCCAATTTGTAAGAATGGGACATGATTTAAGGGGAGAATGGAGAAAGTCTGACTTCACTGGAGTATTGAGTTATGAAATTGGTTAAAAATTACAAGGGAAAAAACATGCATGGATAAATCAATAAAAATGCATTTGAATTTCCATTTCATGCCAACTTTAACAAACATTTAGTTTAATATCTTCTGCTCTTTCTGTCTAGCTTACAAGTTCTGGGGCGCCATTCTGGTCGGGTCCAAAGAGATGTCCTCATCCATTAGAATTCAGCACTAACAATGTAAGTATTCACTGTGAAAAGACTCAAATAAAAGATTGTTTTGAAATTTCATGTAACAAAAAATGATTGGTCTTGATATCATTGTGATTGGTAGGATCTTCACATGGACTACATCATGGCAGCAGCTAACTTATTTGCCCAGTCATATGGCCTGCCATGCTCCACTGAGCGTTCTGATCTGACTAAGCTGCTGCAGGATGTTAAAGTGCCTGAGTTCACACCCAAGTCAGGAGTCAAGATCCACGTGTCTGATCAGGAGCTGCAGAGTGCCAATGCATCAATCGGTAAGAGAAGTGGTGGATGTGGATTTTGAAACTGATGCTGAGCTCATCCTTTTTGTTTTCAGATTTTATACAGTGATTCTGCAACGAATTAAACCTGATGCTAAAGCAAATGATAGTTTTCACTGTCCCAAACATTGCTCATTTTATTATCGGGCTGTTTTCAGATGACTCTAGGCTTGAAGAACTGAAGACACGGTTGCCTTCTGCAGAAGCAGCTTCTCAATTCAAGCTCTGTCCCATTGAGTTTGAAAAGGTACCGCTTATGACACAACCCCAATTTTCCAGCCTTTAGAAATTATGAACTTCAGTTAAAATGCTAATTAAATTCTCTTCCTCAGGACGATGAAACAAACTTTCATATGGACTTCATCGTAGCAGCTTCTAATCTAAGAGCAGAGAACTACGACATTCCTCCTGCAGATAGACACAAGGTGAGAGGGCCAATGAAATGGTTTCTCAACTGTCTTGGGAGGCAAATCCCACCATCGCAGATCCTCACCTATCTTTTTCTTCTTTCAGAGCAAACTCATTGCTGGAAAAATCATTCCAGCAATCGCCACGACGACAGCTGCCGTGGTGGGTCTGGTGTGTCTGGAGCTGCTGAAGATCGTTCAGGGGCACAAGAAGCTCGAGTCCTACAAGAACGGCTTCATGAACCTTGCTCTGCCGTTCTTTGCCTTCTCTGAGCCCATAGCTGCTCCCAAACACAAGGTAACCAACATCATTCTCCATTACAGCAGCAGAGTTGGCATCCCTTTGAATGAATGAGCTACTTTGACACATTTGCTTTCTTTAATAGTACTATGAGATCGATTGGACACTTTGGGACCGCTTTGAGGTGAAGGGCATTCAGCCCAATGGTGAAGAAATGACACTCCGACAGTTCTTGGACTATTTCAAGGTAATACTTAAATTTCATTGCTGATGTATTTGAAGAAACTAGGGGTGGACATTGAAGATTATTTTAGTACTAGGCAGATAAATGAAACAACTACTTCAATTACCCTAACCCTATCCCAATTTGTTATTCTGGACTATAAGTTTTTATTAAGTATATAAGTATTTCAAGTGTGAAATTAAAAAGGTAAACTTTTAATAACAGATTCTGATTGGTTTAGTTGCATAAATTAGTAAGTTATAAGAAATCTAATAGGAAGGTAGGAAGGTATAGGAAGGTTATTTGCTATATTTTCATGCCATATTTGTGTCCATCCCTTGTAGAAGCAGGCAAACCTGACCTGGTGTACTCATGGTTCACACTCTGTTATTCCCTCAGAATGAACACAAACTGGAGATCACTATGCTCTCTCAGGGAGTTTCCATGCTCTACTCTTTCTTCATGCCTGCGGCCAAGCTTAAAGAACGACTGGACCTGCCGTGAGTTGGTTTTTCCTATCTTAGCGACGTACTGAATTCTAATCATGTAGGTGGAATTGAGGCATATGAGATGGAAGAAAATGAAATGTTTGGCTCTGTTTTTGTTTTCATAGGATGACTGAGATCGTGACTAAGGTGTCTAAGAAGAAACTGGGGAAGCATGTTAAAGCACTAGTTTTTGAGCTCTGCTGCAACGACGAGACAGAAGAGGATGTAGAGGTCCCCTACGTCAGATACACCATCCGCTGAGAGGGTTGTTTGGGTAGGGAAGGGGAGCGGTCAGAGGCGGGAGAGGGCGGCCCACTGGGGATGGGGAGCATCAGTATGCTTGGAGAGCCCAAAGAGAAACCAATCAGTTTTTGTTTATTTTTTAAATCAGTAACTGAAATATATAAGTATTATATCTCTAACACCCCTCTTTCCCAACTGGTTGAGCTCTCTAGGGTATGAATCAATCAGGCTGGTTATGTTTAGGACTATGGGGAGCATGTGAATCTTTGGCTGTAACTTATTTGAACTGGTTGTTGTAACGCACAGCTTCAGTGTATGAATTTATCTGTACACCACTCGTCACTCCCTCCCTCTCGATCATCTTTTTCACACCAGTCTTTGTTCCTGTCCTCATGATACTTTTGTGGGCAGCACCATCTTGCTTTGTATTCTGGAGTAAAATATTGACTGATGCCAAAAAAAGTACAAAGGAGAAAAATCGGTAATGTTCATTTAATTTTTTTTCAGTTCACTGCCTTGGCTTGATGTCACATTTAAATGTAACTTGAAGCACCCTTTTTGGCCAAGGTCTGAGCGAGTTGGTCAACTTACTGAACTCCTGCTCTCCCATAGGCCCAGTGGGAACATCCCTTTGCCTCTCTGGCTTTTGTATGGGTTGGGTTCAGGAACTTGCACATAACCATTTTTTTTTTCCTCCCCCATTTTTTTTTTTTTTTTGGGCAGATTTCTGGTGTACACCTTGTAGAACATAAACTCTGTATTCTTTCTACTTTGTTAAACTCCAAAAAACATTACAGTATATTAAAAAAAGGATTTTAATCTGTAATGGGAGCACTTAGTGTGTTAGTGAATAAAGTTGAAAACATTTTCTTGCTTTATTGTCTTTTCTTTGCTACTGTTGTTTTTAAAATGTATCTAAAGTTAATAAAAAGAATCTGCAATTAATCAAACTGGTTATCAGTAATATTTCAATGTTTCAGTCGGTAAGTTGCACAGTACACTTTTCAACCTGGAGTATTTCATTGTTAATAGAAAGAAAAGTCACAATTTAAATATATTTGCCGTTCATGGATATAAACGTTATGTTCATAATCTTTTTAATGTTATATCAATAAATAGCAGAAATAAGTAGTCTGGGTCAACAATTTATTAGGATCTAGATAATAGGATTTTATACAGTTTAGAAAATTAATTTTCTAAAGCATTTTCATGTGCTGCGTTATGTAAGACTCCAATTTAACTAAGCCATTTCACGATATTAACCTTTTTGATTTAAATTCTCTCCAGTTAGGCTATTACAGTGTTCTGAGTCAGTTTTATTGTAAATTAAATGATCCAACTCTTACTGGCCTTCCAATGATAGCACATTGTCCCATTGTTTTTTCTGTATATACCCCCGCCGCTTTCTATACCGATTTATCTCATACCTTCTGCAAAGCTGAAAGCGTGATGCTGCCACTATGTGCTTCACATTTGCGACTGTTTGTAGTGTCGTTTTAAATAGTCTGGTTCAGGGTTTGTTGTAAGCTGGTCCTGCAGCGCACTATTAGAGTTTCTTTGAAAGCCTCTACCTCCACCAGCTCCAAATGCCTAGATCTGCTACAGGACTTATGTATGCTTATTAATGCAAAATTATTCATTCATTTTATTGGTAAAACTTATTATCATATCATTATTTTAACAGTGCTACTACTTACCAACAATTTTACTGTCATCCCTGTCAAGATGCCTCTGCCACATTGCAAAGGCCTCCTCTGAAATCCTGCTGGAGACAATGAGTGATTTAAAGGATCTAAATGACTTCAGATCAGATTGCTCCTTTCAAGATCTGTCTCTTTGTGGAGTACCTGGATCGTGTGTATGTTGGTTCCTTAATTTCCATAACTGCAGTACGTTTGGATGGACGACGGTTAATTTCTGTATGTAGCCTGTCCAGAAGGAACCGCAAGAACTCCTGAGCATCTTGCTGACTGTGTGTGAGTGAGAAATGAAATGGATAGATTATTCGTCTGCAAAATATTATATACATAACAACTGAGAATGATATCTTTAAACACCAATACCCTAACACATATTTTAAATACTGTGTTAATCAGAGAAATCTGAAGAGATATCTGTAATAATTCATATTGAACGTACCTATAGCCACTGAAATAAGGCACTGACTCTTTAAACACGTGATAAAACTTCCCAGGATTCACTGCGGTTTCCCCACCATTACATTCCCACAAGCCAGCCAAAACTTTAGAGAATTCTACAATAAAGTCATCAACAAAAATATTGTGAAGAAAGTAGATGAGGAGTAGAGGAATGTCTGATTTTAAAATCATTAAATTGATAGATAAAATGTAAAATAAAATAATAATTCAAATAAAACTTTTTATTATTTTTTTTAAATAACCATGCAGCCCAAACCACTCAGATTTTGATTTGCTGTACCACTTCACCCCTAGTAAATAAATGACAGCTGAAGTGTGCCTACCATTCATAAGCACAGGTTCTTGTTTGGAGTGCTTGTCCTGAAGGTAAGTTCTCATCAGACAGTAGTTCCGAAGACTATGAGTGTGAGAGAGACACTGCACGATCGCATTGAGGAAACACTAAAAACAAAAGAGAACATTTGAATATGGATGGGAGAGAATACCATTATTTTTCTTGCAAACATATGCATTAAAGCCTGTTTGTGAATTAGAACATACAGTATTTCCAACGTTGCGCAGTCCAACTTGTCCATTTCCCAGTTGCAGCTCTCTCTGTAGAATGAAAAATGACTGTCAGTGAGACTTCCTCAATTACATCACAAGCGGCAACAGGTTTGCCATTTACTGTCCCTCCTGCAGTGACTGAGTGTCCATTTATAGATCTATGATCCAATTATAACAGAGAGGGAAGACACTGTCACATATGACACTGAGGTTAAGACCAGATATACTTAACTCACTGTGAACACCTACAGGTGCAAAAACACATGTATTTTATATATATTAATTATTAATATGGTTTGCAGATAAGCTAGGCCTGTTGTTTCCAGTATATAAGAGTTGACAGGATAGGCCAGTTATTGTGTCAAACACACTAATACAGCATGAGGTTTCAGACAGAATGTGTCAATGGTGCAACACTGTCTCACCTCGTTGTCTGTCACCAGCAGGAGTCCCATGATGGATGTGTATAGTACTGACTGTGAAATGTCCACATTCTCTGGCTGAAGGCCATTTTGAGTGACTAAGGTGCGGCACAGGGCCTGACACGAGTTGTCCATTACAGCGGATTCAGCTCTTGGCATTACCACGTCTGCATGCCGGGCAACCCTGCCAGTGAACCTATGAATGGAATCATGAATAATGAAAACTCCTTTGAATATCTTATTTATTAAGCAAGTCATATTGCTAAAAACTGGTTTGTGATTCAGTCCTCTTCCCAACATGCACTGTAGCATGAATATTTAATATGGTCACATTGTTTGACAGTGTGTCAGTTTGCAGTGATGGGAACTTGACATTTTATGTTCAGTCAAGACATTTATTTAAAAATGTGTAAATTAGTTGAACTCAAAAAAGCTAATGCAGACTGCTGCATTATCTATTTTTAATGTAGTTTAATTATTGAGAGAATTTTCCATTTAAAGTGAATATAAAGAGAGGTGATAATTCACTTGGCTATAGAAAAGACAGCACTGTTATGATAGTTGGCTATAATATTTATTAATTATTTTAGAAACAGTATAGCACAATCATTAATCTAACAAAAAGTATTGAGAGAGAGAGAAATTTTTTTAAATAAAAACGTCTTATTTTTAAAAGGGATATTTATCATAAAATTTTTTATTATTTACATAAAATCTGCATTATCTATTTTTAATGTAGTTTAATTATTGAGAGAATTTTCCACTTAAAGTGAATATAAAGAGAGGTGATAATTCACTTGGCTATAGAAAAGACAGCACTGTTATGATAGTTGGCTATAATATTTATTAATTATTTTAGAAACAGTATAGCACAATCATTAATCTAACAAAAAGTATTGAGAGAGAGAGAAAATTTTTAAATAAAAACGTCTTATTTTTAAAAGGGATATTTATCATAAAAATTTTTATTATTTACATAAAATGATCACATAAACATTTGTTTACCCGTAAATACCCAGTATCGTCTCCACTTATTTTTTGATTGATGGTCAAACAGCGCCAGTGTTTCTATCCAAACATCAAGGCCAATTTGAAAATGTTTAAGTGTTACTGTGCTTTCATTACACCTGCTGATCAACTGTCTGTCCTATCGCTGTGTTTGTGAGCGAGCTTTAATCATGGCTAATCTTTCCTCTCTCTTTAGGACCTTCTATAATTAGCGATGTCTTCGCCTTTGCTTAAGAACAGCTTTGACACTGACAGGAGACGGTGTCCGCACGCTACTCACAGTCATTATATTAAACTGCAATTGCAGTAATTATAATAATATTTATTATCATTTTTTATTTATTAAAATAACATTTAATAATTATAATAATAATAATAAATTGACACTTTCCTGTATGTGAACCTGTATGTGGCGTTATGTGTCTGTGTGGTTGCATTTATTCTCCATCGTGGATCGTCACTCCATCATTTCTGTGTGTATTCTGCATTGTAGCTGAATTTTATTTGACAAATTATGTAAGAGAGAATTAAAAAGAAAAAGTATTGATTTTATAATTTCCCCATTCATTTCAATGTAGGGTCTCAAACATCATGAGTGTGAAAAAATTTTTCACACTAACAAAACCAGATATCAATCCAATTTTTTTATTTTTATTTGTAGAGCTAGCAAGCGTTGGCAACGGTACAAAGTCTCATGCCATTTAGATAAAGGGAACTTTTTTTTTTTATTTCAGCAAAAAGACCCCGAACAACATTTAAGAGCTAATGGCAGAATTAACATTGAGCTAACATAACATAACAACTAACATATCATTACTGAGAAATGTACAAAAAGACTTCAAGGTATGTGCCTATAGAAAAATTTACTGTCAGTAAAAACTGTACTAAAAGTGACAACTAGCACTACTCTAGGTGAAATTCATGTTATGCATATTGATAGCTGTTAACCGTGATAAAAAACTAAAAAGGTCCACATTTATGGAAGTTGTCAGTTTATTGAAAACAAAACGGTAACCATTATGCACTGAAAGGAAAATGGGAACGAATACCTTTTTATAAATGGCACAGAATACCTTTAAAGCAACTGAATGCAGTTATGTGTATTTTTGCGACTTTGGAGCCCCCTACAGTAGTGGAATTTACTGTCGTAAATATATCACTGTGGTAATGACAGTGGATTGCTGCTTTGCTGCCGTAAAGCAACCCGCCCTTTTAGCGGAAATTTGTAATAGGCCAGTCGCCTTATTATAAGTCACTGTACCATCAGAATGATATTGAAACTGATATTTCAATGTAAAAACGTAAATACAGTTGCTTTATATCAAGAGAAAATAAGCATTTAGGCTACATTTAGGTTATATCAATGAAAGACTTGCAGTAGGCCTACTGTTAGCCCTAATGCTGCCAAAGTGCAATGACAAAAAGCCTGGACTCATATAAGATTAGTTACCGTTCAGATTGCACAAATGTTGTTGTTTATTAAAGGGATAGTTCACCCAAAAATGAAAATTCTGTCATTAATTACTCACCCTCGTATTGTTCCAAATCCATAAGACCTTCGTTCATCTTCGGAACATAAATTAAGATATTTTTGATGAAATCCGAGAGCTTTCTGACCCTCCACAGACAGCAAGGTAACTACCACGTTCAAGGCCCAGAAAGGTACCAAGAACATCGACAAAATGGTCCATGTAACATCAGTGGTTCAGTTACCATCTACCAGCATGCGTTGTGTTACTCTCGAGAGTAGCACAACGCATGCTGGTAGATGCTAACTCGGGGGAGAAGAATTGTTGAATAAAGTCGTTATTTTTTATTTCTTTGCGCACAAAAAGTATTTTCGTAGCTTTGTAAAATTGCGGTTGAACCACTGATGTTACATGGACCATTTTAATTATGATCTTACTACGTTTCTGTGCCTTGACTATGGTAGTTACCTTGCTGTCTATGGAGGGTCAGAGAGCTCTCGGATTTCATCAAAAATATCTTAATTTGTGTTCCAAAGATGAACGAAGATCTTACAGGTTTGGAACGAGTAATTATTGACAGAATTGGGTGAACAATTCTGGGTAAACATTTTTGACAGCAGACATTTTTGGGTGAACTATCCCTTTAACTATATGAGATGGAAATGGTGCGCAATTTAAAGGAATGAGGAACTGAGAGTTCACATGTCCCATAGCCTAAACCATATATCCAACAAATATCACATAATATTCTCAATGTAAAAAAAAAAATATATATATATATATATATATATTCCAATAAAACCGGTTAAGCAAGAAGCATAAATCTAATATAAAATACTCCCCTTATGAGATATTTGACAGCAACAAACATCCACATATGAAGTATACAAATATAGCTACATGACCTTATTCTCACAGTTTCTAGAGAGGTTGTGAGACAGCAGCTGTGTGATCTCATTTGTCCTGAGAAAGTTGGCTGTCATGGTCACAATAAAAGTGAAATCCTGTCTTTGTGAATGAACCATTGAACTGGAAAGCACCGGTAGCCCTGGTCTATGTGTCTGGCATCTCCACATCAGAGTTAAGGTTGAGTTCAGCGATGTTGTTATAGAGGGCAGGGTCAGGGCTTAAATGCTCAGAGGGTTTGCAGTGGCTGGTTTGAGCCTGTCTGTCCCGTGACTGGACCATTGCTTGGCGCAGACATGAAATCCATTGCTGCTTATTGAAGGAGTCATTAGCCTGCAGGCTGTGGGATTGAGACTTGGAGCGCCCTGTGGTGCTCACACGAAAACAGTTCTTCACTGGGAGGGAGTTAGAAGAAAAATGTGGAATTAGAATGAAACGAAAGCAATTAGAACACCTCCAATGTCAAATAAAAAGCATGTAGAATTACAAATAAACAAAAACAGTAAAAAAATTTAAGCCTCTAATGCATGCATTATAAAAGCAATAGTAAATCAAACTTATTATAACATATCATTATTTTTAATTATTTTAAAACAAATTTTAAAATGCTAAAAATTTTAAATATCAAAAAAAAATTAAATTACTATTGAAAAATGTAACAATTTAGGTTATGTTGCCTGTGAAAAGAATTTAATTCAACACCTTTGTCAAACAAAATCATTGATATGACTGTAACCATTTTAAAATAATGTTTAATCACTAGTAAATTTAAATCCTTTTTTTATTGCAAGAAAAAAAAATGGTTTATTCAAATTCAAATCTCTTCCATTTTAATCATTTAATTGCTATTCTTTACATGACATGTGCATGCAAACTGAAAAGAAAAAAAAACCCAGTCACCTTAATTTTTTCTTATTTTTTTAAGCAACTGATAAATAATATATATATATATATATATTTTTTTTAATATTATTTTTAAATAAATATTAAAATTACTGAATATTATATAATAATCTAAAAATTTAACACACAGTGAAAAGAAATTAAACACTTGATGTTAAACTAAAAAATGTTTATTCAAATTCAATAGTAATCATTTTATTGCAATCCCACATAAGTCATATGCTTGCAAACTGAAAGAAAAAAAATTAGTACAAGTGTAAGATGCAATGCCACTACCTTTATCATTGCCCGTAAAAGCCCCACGAAATGATCCAGAGCTGCTTGGCTCTCCATCAGGTAGGTCTTCCAGATGGAGGTGAGCAGCTGGGAGGGGCTGACGATACACCTGGAACTGTGCTGGTCCTTCCCTGTCCTGCGCCACTGGTCGGGTCAAAACCAATACCAGCTCAAAAAGGAACACATGCAGCTTCTAGAGAGGAGAAATGAGAAGTAAAATATCTGTGTGGATTGTTTTTAGTTTAAGCACTGAAAAAACTGCAATGATCTGCTATACATTTGTTGAAAAGATAAAGTGTAGATTCAGAAGAAAAATATGCAGTTACCTGTCCTTTAGTACTCTTCAGTTCACCATGGCAGTATAAAAAACGAGATGCCTGGATTTCTGGAACCCTCTGGCTGTCTTCTGAGTAGCACAGCCCCCGTCTGTAAAACTGACACTCAGCCTCTCCAGTTTTAAGATTGACTTCTGTAATAATCCTTTGGATTAGTTCTATCTGAGGAAACAAGAAATACAAGGATATGCTGGTTGCAGTGTCTTGAAAAGTGAATCATTGAATCACTCAACCGATTGTTTACAGGCAACGATAAAGGTAGCTCCACTGCATCTTAACCTTGTATTACAATTTTCTTTTTTTCTTCCGTTTTTCACCTGTAAAAACACTGATTCAAACAGAAACTAAATTACTGTTATTTTAGTATTATTTATATACTATTGTAGTATTTGTAATATTTTGAGTTTCAGTAATATTTCAGTTAAAGTTTCAGTAATTTACCTTTATTTTTATTTCTGTTTTAGTTTTACTAATTTTAGTACTTCAGCTTATTTCAGTTAGTTGCAAAAACATTAGTTAACAATAACCCTGAACCAAACAAAAGACTTGATGAATTCAAAATAACAACCTAGCATACTACCCTTATTGTTTCTCCCATATAGATATGTGGCACAAATATATGTGTGAATCATTTAATCAGTCACTCATCCATTTTGTTCAATTAGGAACGAAACGAGTAACTTGGGTCCATATCCAATGCTAGTATATATGTGGAAGTATCTCAACTCACTGCCTGTGGCAGCTCTTCTTCGTCCGGATGCTCAGGTGGAGTGCTCTTCTGAATCTCTTTTAACAGCAGAGGATATTTCACCAGCCTGCTGCGAGGCAAGTCCAGAAAGTTCCACAGGTCCAGCTTTCTGCTGAAGGACGACTCCTGGCACAGCCGCAAGAAATGCTCAACCCGCCGGTCCTGTTTCTTTTGATCGAGCAGAGCTTTTGCCCCAACCTGGTTACAGCAGTATGTGATATACGCCTCCAGACATGGAAACTATGGAAAGACAGAAAAGAGCTTATAACCCACTCAAATGCTGGGTAGGTACACTTTTAAGGCCCGTTCACACCAAGAACAATATTTTATTTATTACTATAAATAAGACTTCAGTTATATTCAGTTATAAACTTCAGATATCCTTCTACTTATTATAAACGCAAGCTGCCATTTTGTTGTCTGCTGCTTTAAATGCTCACGTTTTTTTTTTTTTAAAGTTGGATTTTTATTTCTGTTTTAGTTTTACTAATTTTAGTACTTCAGCTTATTTCAGTTAGTTGCAAAAACATTAGTTAACAATAACCCTGAACCAAACAAAAGACTTGATGAATTCAAAATAACAACCTAGCATACTACCCTTATTGTTTCTCCCATATAGATATGTGGCACAAATATATGTGTGAATCATTTAATCAGTCACTCATCCATTTTGTTCAATTAGGAACGAAACGAGTAACTTGGGTCCATATCCAATGCTAGTATATATGTGGAAGTATCTCAACTCACTGCCTGTGGCAGCTCTTCTTCGTCCGGATGCTCAGGTGGAGTGCTCTTCTGAATCTCTTTTAACAGCAGAGGATATTTCACCAGCCTGCTGCGAGGCAAGTCCAGAAAGTTCCACAGGTCCAGCTTTCTGCTGAAGGACGACTCCTGGCACAGCCGCAAGAAATGCTCAACCCGCCGGTCCTGTTTCTTTTGATCGAGCAGAGCTTTTGCCCCAACCTGGTTACAGCAGTATGTGATATACGCCTCCAGACATGGAAACTATGGAAAGACAGAAAAGAGCTTATAACCCACTCAAATGCTGGGTAGGTACACTTTTAAGGCCCGTTCACACCAAGAACAATATTTTATTTATTACTATAAATAAGACTTCAGTTATATTCAGTTATAAACTTCAGATATCCTTCTATTTATTATAAACGCAAGCTGCCATTTTGTTGTCTGCTGCTTTAAATGCTCACGTTTTTTTATTTTTAAAGTTGGGTGTATTCTGATTGGTCATTGTTTTTATTGTTCATCAGCAGGAAAAAAAACATTCTGATAGCAATTCCAATGATATTGTTTATTTGTGTCTGTAGCTGTTATGTAGACTTCCCTATGGAAGCATGTTTCTGCCACAAAATAAAAAAAAGTAACGTATTACGTATAAAACGTAACGTATAAAAGTATTATTCTATTGCAATTTCTATTTTCTCTATTTCTTTTCTATTGCAATTCCCCCCCCCCTAAAATTTTAAGGAAAAAAGTCTGAATTGTGATTATAAACTCAAAATTGTGAGACAAAAAGTCTCAATTACCTTTTTTATTTTTTTTATTCCGTGGCGGAAATGGGCTCCCATACTTCCCCTTTCTCATAGAATTTGAACGATAATTGAAACTTTATAGTTTTGGTTATCATCCTCGATGTGAACGGGCCTTTAGAGTTGCATCAATAATAACAGAGCCAGTTATTATTAAGGACTGCAACAATGTTTTGTTATTATCTTTACATGTTGGTAGGCTGTCTAATATAAGACTGACCCAGTCCATCATGGTCGGGCCGACCTCTTGCACAGTCTTCTCTGCTCCACGAAGGCCTTCAAGACGAGCTAAAAGATCTAAATGCACCGGTAAATAATTGTGAATACATCATTATGTTTCAAAGAAACAACTACAAAGAGTTTACTGACATTTACCTTCATGAAGTGGTATTAAAGAATCAAGGGTTCCAAATATCTGTCCCAGCTCACTTTCTGTCATGATGTCTAATTTCAGCATGGGTTCATAGTACACCTGTCAGGACAGTCGAAATTAAATTCACTTCTATAAAGACAGTAGAAACAAACCTGTTGATTTCTGCACAAACCTTTTTCACTAGACTTAAATCCTCAATGAGCTGTTTCTCACCCTGGGTTAACTCATAGATTACCTGCAGGTGAAGAAAATAAAGAGGTAAATAATACATAAATGAAGGGTAAAAACTGTACAGGTACTTCTAACCTCATGAGGCCTTCTGGTAGAAGATACCACAAATATGCACACTTTTATAACTGCGCTACTGTCACAAGTTATCAGTCAGTTTTGGCAGTGTGCGGTGGAGCATTTCAGAGGAAATTCTGACACTGAAATAGAGAATATGGCCTCGTATACCAGCTCACTTCCTGTTTCACAACTAAGGTAGTGAAGACAGAGTTGGGCAGCTGAAAGCTCTTTAAAAAGGTATTAAGGTACATGAGACAAAACTACCAGTTTTATGCTTTAAATTAAAGCCCAAACATGGGAAATTTAACCAATTAAAAGTTTAATTAATAAAGAATTGAATTAAATCATGCAAAAAATAAACTTTAAAGAGTACGAAGCATTTCTATGTGGTGTTAATTCAAGCAGCTTTTCACACCTCTTGTCGCTTGATCTCTTTGGTACTAAGCTCGTGGCTCAGACTGTCAACTGTATCACTCCACAGCTGGCTGCTCCGCCGCCGTGGAAATGAAGAGGCCTTCTGACGTGTTCTTATTGGCATTGGAGGCAACGGACGGGCCTCTGTTCGGAAACTGATAGAACGCTGATGAAAATAAATATACATAAATATACATTTACACACACACACACATTTAGTATATATATATATATATATTTCACATATATACATATGAAGATTTTTGAAATAAATAACATTGGTATATATATATATATATATATATATATATATTCATATGTATTGAAATGATTTTTATATATACGCTTTAAATAACAAAAAATATTGTTCTCTGTTAGTCAAATAGTGGCGCTTGATAAGGTGTATATAACTGTTATTACTCATACTAAGGCTAAGGGCTTGGAGTTAGGCTCTTTTGATTTGGGACAGTATGCAAACACCCTGTAAAAACCCTCAAAAATCTAGTTCTTGTTGTTATTGTTGATGATAGTTCAATTAAGAGAAGCTAAAACATTTTGGCTGGATGAGATGGATGAGAAAAGCCGAGTGAGTGCATGAAGAGGTTTATAGTACCTGTATGGACTGGCCCAAGCGTTTCAGTGCAGGGGTCTTCACCGGTGTTATAATACCAGTGACTGAAGCACTTTTGTCTACTGGTTTGACTCTTTTGTTACATGGACCCTAATATGAGGCCAACAGCAGAGAATAAGCGTCAAGGTTAAAATGTACTTGTATCATGTTATGTTTTAATGTATCATTAAAACAAGCGGATGTTTAAATGTGGACCATTAGCATGCAACACCAAGGCATTCACTGAAACTGAGAAAGTTAACAGACAGTTCAGCAATGAAATTTGAGCTTTATCAGACTTTTTTGATCATGATGTTTTGACATGATGTAAAAGTTTATAGACCGTTACTGTGCAGAGCAGAAATGTACTAGAACAAGGATGCATATTAATTTCTGTACCTCTGTATCTTGCATGTGGTCATTGATGGGAAAGTCATCGTCTTCCTGAAAGAGACGTGTAGTGTAGCACAGATGTCAGCACAAGCATATAACCACAAGCAGATGTATACAGTCTATTTGAGTTTACTCCACCAAACATCAGTAAACACATCAGTAACAGAACAGTAACACAGAACACAACTACAGCCACTTTTTTATTAACCATTGCTATATTATGATTATTTTCCAGCATTCATCATTTTTTTTCTTTTTTTTTTTTGATTGTAAAATTTTGTAAAATTGTACTATTTATTAAAAGAAATTTGATCAACTTCTGAATTTTGTTATCAAGGAAATGACATTGTCAGTGAAGAGCTTGATATGGAATATGAACAATGTACAATGAATATATATATTCATTATTATTATAAAATTATATATATATATTTTTTTTTTGCGTCCTTTCCAATCAAGCTGTAATTTTGTCAAATTTTCAAAAAGTGTGAATGACAGTGTATTTAGGATACATTAAATTCTATAAAGTTGGCCCTAGCAAAACTAGGCCATTTCCACAACGTCATTTCCACCACAGACTATGATCAGACCCAATTTGGAAAACATATGGTTCTGGTCCTAGACTCTAATTGTTTTTTTTACAGTATTCAAGCCGTGTTGTATTCCCACCTTACATTAACAGCTTTGACCTATTCATCATCTCACTGTTTTATTAGTGTGAGAGTTTATTTTCTAAAAGTCCACAGGATCAAAAGTGCCAGTATTTGAAGAAACAACGACAACAGCAAGCGAGATTGAACCGAAGGAATCAAAGGATGTAGCGGATTGAGACAGGAAACGGAGTTGTAAAGCTGTTTTTTCTTGTCAGCTTTTCACTCACAGCTGAGCACAAGTTGCTTCATTCTTTTACTGTAACCCTCCTTCATTTCTCTTGAAAGACGAGTGCTCTTTTCTAGATGTCTTGTAACAGACCAGGAAAACCATTGGATTGTTATGGAGTCACCTGGTCTCAACAAGTTTTGGTGTAGAGCACAAACATGTAGGCCACTTTCACCACGTCAGACCCCTCAACTGATGTACATTCATCTTCATACAAAATCAATGATTAAGTTAAAGCTTATAGGGAGGAACTTTAACCGCTGAGTAGATCATCTTTAGATCATCTAAAGACAGATGAACAGGAAATATTGTGGCTGTTTTTGTAACAGATGCTCAAACAATCACATTCAAACATTTAGCACTCTAGAAGACAATATCAAAATGATTTACAACATACTTAGATCAGGCCTGTTGCATCTTATATCATAGATAACAACTTACACAGTCCTCCAAGATTCGGGCTGAATTCTCAGCATCACTACTTGGGTCTTGTTTTCTTTTCTTCTGCTCAGAAAACGAACAGATAATACATTGGTGTTCCTCAAAGGAGCAAGACCTACAGTTTAAGGTCTGTCCATCAAAATATGTATAAGGTTTATGACCAAAACGAAACTTACCCCTGTGATATCTGACAGGTTGGCGCATGTGAGGAGCCTGTCTCTAGATACAGGAGACCTGAATAAAAATCAAATAAAGTGGAAGTATGACACTGAAAAAGACATGAACGCATTATCTTAGGATATATAATCCAAATGATTAACTGTTAGTTCAGTTATTAAACTATAGTGAATTTCTAGGCCACTACAGCTGATCAGAATGACAGTTACACACCGAAATGTCTTTGATTTTTAGTTTGAGCAACTATTGATGATCTGTGAAAAAGTCATACCAGGAAGGTGATGTATCAACCTCCGTCTCTTCAAGTTCCATCTTTTCTTCTCTCAAAGCATCTCCAAATGTGCTTATGAAAAGAAACACCGATAAATAAATAAAAAAGAGTATTACATTAAAAATCAGACCATAAATCTTAGAAGCACCTGTTCCAACTTTTCAAAGAAAAGACAAAAAAGATAATGTGCACTCTCTCCCAGCCCTCCCCTCTTCCTCTTACACTTGCATGTCTGATACCACATCCTGTGTAAGAAAAAAACGTGTACTTCCTGTTGTCAGGCAGAACGAAGACAAATCAACCTCTCTTAACGACTCTTGACAGATCTTTGAGTCTCTGTGTAATTACGCCAGCCATACATAACTCCATCGACAAAGAGGACGGAAGTTAAAGCAAACCTTCTGACCCGTTTCTGAAAATAATACAGTGGTGTCTACTGCTCAGTTGATGAGATCATGACTAGCTCAGTGCGTGACAGAAGCGTGAGACAAAGATGCTCATACATGACAAAACATACAAAGTATGGCCTACAACAACAAAAAAAGTATTTTTTCCCCCATGCCAAAAAATACCACAAAATGGTGATGGTCAACCTCAGGAGGTTGCTAAATACGTTTCCATTGCTATTTATTTACAAGGTTTGCAATTTTAGCTAAATTTGGGACATCTAAAATTTAAAACCCTAATTTATCAGAAAAAGAAAGAAAAAAAAAATAAAAATAAATCCTGAATGGGTAAGGATGCCAGTGTAAATGCCTCGGTAAGGGCTAATCAGGTTGGGACCAAAAAAAAAATCAAAAATCAAAAAATTCCTTACAATAACAGGGTTTAATGTTTGAGCATGGCAAATGCTGTCAGCAATCTGCATTAAAAAAAAATTGGATTTACCGGTTTTACTGGATACATGCTAATTTAATACAGATTTACTAAATTTAAAACTCACTTCTTTAGATGCTGTTAATTTTAAACCAAATCAAATGCTTTAAAAAAGGGTTAGGGTTAAAATTTTACCTATTCTTGAAAAGTGACATAACCACATGAAGTGCACCCACAAGCACTTGAAAGATGATAACCTGCAGAATGATTCCGTAATGTGATGGGAGCAAACTTGTAAAATTAAATGTTGAGCAAGCAGTCTTATTGGCTGCAGAATCAGCAGAGGCCAATCAGCTTGTGTCATGTAGTAAATGATGTGAATGCTAGCAGATTGCATGTAAAAGACCTATGAGCCTGTGCCATCTAGAGTCTCATGATGGAACTGTTTGTTTGCATAAATTATTCACCTTATTAATGCTTGGTTGTTGTTGTTGTTTTTTTTTTGTTTTTTTTTACAGAAACATTTGACCATTAAACTTTCAAAACGTTTCTGTATTTTATAGATTTTTTTATTTTATATGTGAGTGTGTATAAATGTCTAAAAACAATAAAATACCAAAGTAAAATAAGGTAAAATATTATTAATAATTGTGATCATCATCATAATGTATATTTGTATAGTTATAGTCTATTGATTATTTAGTAAATAAAATTTAAAAAAATAAACCCTTTTTTTTTTTTTTTTACTTCAGTCCATTTTAAATCCTGGTGCACCTGGTGCTCAAGTATTTTTTCCCTTCTGTCACAGATTTGTTCTCCGGTCAGCTGCGCAGTTCCTTACACTGTTCAGTCTGCTCCCATTACTCCAACACCTTTGATGTGTTTTCCCCATCCCAAAGGTAACACTCTCAGGCCCTGTCCTCACCTTCTGGTGTTGTGCAGATGATGTGTCATCATTTTTGTTTGTGCGTGTATTGCAGAAGAGTGATTATGGACGAACTGTCACACTGAGAGAGTGTCTAGACCTCTTTTCACAAGAGGAAAAACTTGATAAAGAAAACTCACCGGTGAGTGAAAAGCATTGCTTGCATTTAAAATGGGAACTTCTGCTGATACCCACGGATGTGTATGTTTCTTAGATGTGTGAGCGGTGTAACCGTCGCACTGAGAGCACAAAAAGACTGACCATCCAAAGGTTCTCTAGAATCCTCGTAATGCGTATCCTTTTCAGTTGGTCAAAGCTGAGTTGATCAAATGGTGATTATCGATGGTGTGAAGCAGTACGTGTAAGGTCTTGTGACCAAGTACATGCTTTACAAAAGGTACATAGACTTAACTTGCCATCTCAGACTTAAATCGATTTACCATGTCAAGGTACTCCATCTCAAAGAGCACAGTGCCAGTTTCCTTCCCCCTAAATGGGCTGGATTTAGGGCCATTTGGACCTGTTGACTGCGGTGAGCTCTTAATATCTGAATAACTATCATACACATTATAAATTTTGATTATTGTTATGTGCAGAGGTGTATGAAATATTACTGAATGTTTGCTTTCAGGTCCAGTGCTGTACGATCTTTATGCAGTATGCAATCATTCTGGCACAGTAAATATGGGACACTACACGGCTGCATGTCGGGGGGAGGAGGGCTGGTGCTACTATAATGACTCATGGTGGGTGCAGCTTTTTGTCTGACCTATTTTATACAATAAAATAATGGTATTTAAAGGCCAGTTTTCTCACACGACGTACAAGAATAATAATTTGTTCCTATTAGAGATAATATAGAATTTTTTATCTTTGTTTGATGACTTTAGAATTTATCGTAATAAAGAAATAATATTTAATTTAGTTCAGCAGAGGAAAATTTAAACATTAATGCTCTGTTTCTTTTACAGTGTTGCTGAAATAACAGAGGAGAAGCTTCAGTCCAATCAGGCATATGTTCTCTTCTATGAGCTCAAAAGCCTCAATGTCACCAGAAAATGAGGGCAGAGAATGTATTTTGTTATGAGAGACTTCAGTGATTATTTGGCAAATTTCAGATACCACAGAAAAAAGTTGCACTGTGATGTTGGGAGAAAGTGAATGAGCTTGAAAACTGGTCATTTTACATAATTGTTAAATTTCATTGTAAATTCATGCTACTGAGGTATTTTTGCTACACTAAACAATGTGATTTATTAACTTAATGCACTCAGGAAAGCACATTCTTTTAGAAAAAAAAAAACGCCTGTTATTAAAAAATAAGTAAATAAAAAATCTGTAGATATGTAAGGACTATTTTTTCTGCATTTTTTTATTCTTAATGTAATTTAAACTTGAAATTTGCTGTAATGTGTTTTACTTAAGAGTGGAAAAACAGGGCTGAATTAACAGGGTAATTAATGCAGATGGTGGATTATATAAAACCTTTGTCTGACTGTGCAAGCACATGACCATTGTATATTATGTCTGGCTTTACACATATGAGGATCTCCATCATATAAAATCTCTTATGTTTCTGTTATGGAATGACATGAAAAATAATGTGCCATAAATGAATGCCCAATCCCTCCACTTTAAATCTTTTTGATCTAGTGTTAAATTTGATATTTAGGTTTAACACTAATCCAGTGTATGTAAAAAGAACAACAAAAAAAACCCAACTTTTTAATGTTTGCTTTAGTTTAGATGTAGAGGGATTTGTAGGTAGTGTAACCCACATTTAATTTACTTTAATAAATTAATATTTTATACATATGACTCCAGTTCACTTATTTCAGTTCACCCTGATACTGCATTAAAGAAATATGTTATTGCAGATCTGAGATTAGATAGATAGATAGATCGATAGATAGATAGATTGATTGACTGACTGATTAAGATGACAGAAGTCCCTTATGCTCGCCAGTGCTGCATTTATTGGATCAAAAATAGTTAAAACTGTAATATTGTGAATTATTATTACAAATTTAAAATAACTTTTTTATAATTATATATTTTAAAATGTAATTTTAGCATAGGCCTATTATAATGACACTGAAGAATGCCAAATTCAGCTTTTCCATCACAGTAATAAATTAAATTTTTTCAAATATATTAAAATAGAAAACATTTCTTTTAAATTGAAAAAAAAAATTCACAATATTATTTATTATTTTTAATCAAATAAATGCAGCCTTGGAACACATCTTAATTTTCCCCTCGGTAGTGTATCAATGCTAATGATTATGAATGATATAAAATGTATAAATTACTTTATTTTAATATAACAAAAATATTAATTGAACGGATCAATCATTCAGTGTTGTATGTACACTTTACTTTTTGGTGGCTTATTGCTTTATAGAGCAAACACCGCCATCTGCTGGGCTGATGTGAAACCTCAAACTTCTCAGCGCAGCCTTCTCCCCCCTCTTTGTCCGCAATGGTTTAACCCGTTGCCTAGGCGCTCGGTCCAAGCTACTGCGAGCAGCTGCAACAAAACACTAGGTAGGCCTCAGGAGATACGACACTCTACTGTTGCATCAATATTTGCAAACATACAGACATCATTAACTGTTTCAAATCGATTCTGAAGGACAACGACAATCGTAATTTGTTTTATTTTTTACAGGCGTCTGCTGGATATGAAAAGAAGCTCATGCATAATACATGCGAACTAGCCCGTTAGCCAAAGTTAGTGGACTGGATTGTGTTAAGGTTTGGAAACTTTATATTGCAGAAAAAAAATCTAGTATAGCCCGAAGAAACATTATTTTTGTCAAATACACCCGTGACTGCAGATAAATTATGAATATGTGATAGAAACATTTGATGACGGATGATAATGGATTATGCAGAAGATCAAGTGTATGTCATTTGTTACAGTTGCAGTGTTATTAGTATATAAAGGTTGTTGCTTAAGCTGTATTGTCTTCCATTTAAAGGCATGCAGACTTCTGTAACACGGCGAGTTGTGTTTTATGCTTTTCTTGTTTTGTAATAAAGTGATGATTAGGTCAGAGACTGCCATGGGCGGAGGCAAATGCTGGAAACCACAATCTAAACTTTGTTCCCATAAAAACTCTTGGCTAATTTGCAAGTGATGTACGGACTCCTGTTGAGCTGTAGTCGGCCATGGAAAAAAGAGAGGTATGGTGTCGTCTTTTTTATATTTATAAATATGACATATGCATTAGGGCTGAACGATTTTGGAAAATAATCTAATTGCGATTTTTTTTTTACCAATATTGCGATTGCGATTTAATATGCAATTTTTTTTTTAAAAGCTCTTTATGTTCTGTATTATTCAACAAAGACAAGCTATAAATCATTGTATAGTATGACCAACACAATATTATATAGATTAAACATAAATGTTCTTTTCTGTAGGCCAGGCCTATATGTTACGATGAAATTAGGTGATGCATGAATTGATATGAATGACATTTTTATTTAACAACTACAATCACAGTATATTGACTGATGTGACAACTGTAGCGTCCGGTATAGACACGGTGAGTGAAGCCGAGAGCAAGATATGCCTCGTCATATTTTCTGCATTTAGCTTTTGAATGGCCAGCACCTGCCTGGGTCTGTGCGACTTCATCTATGGCTTTTCTCTTCGCTTTCACAAACCGATCCATCTCCCATTCTAAGTTACGTCCTTTGGCTGTTTACTTATTTCTTTTCTTTTTCTGCTGATGGCCCGCGCTCGTCTTGAAGCTGCGCTGCTTAGACCGATAGGTGTGTGTCATCAAAGTACTGCCAGAGCTATAAGAGAGCGTGGACGTCTCCTTATGCTTTCTCTCGCTCGCCGTACTTTGATGTCATACACCGATCTGATCTTCAAGTCGAACACACCTCTTTACTCTCGCCTGTAACGTGACCGTGTAATCGCAGCCTCTGCGATCGAAAAATCGAAATTTTTCATATCGCGATATTATCGCAAATGCAATTAATCGTTCAGCCCTAATATGCATTAAAGGTTAGTTCATGGAGATCATGTAATTTGCTTGTAATGGTAATTATTTTGTCAGACAATTTGACAAAAAAAGACTTGTTGCTTCACTACACAGGGGATGGTGTTTTTCATTTCAACAGGTGTAATAATCTGTACTTTATTAATGCATCTAATGAAATAACTTTATGACAGTAATTCTCAATCTTTTGTAACCTCAAGTTCCTACACACAATATTTCTTCTTGTATCTCTGCTTAAATTATGTTACAGAAAGTTTCAACTTTTTGACTCTAAGGCCCCCATTTGTCCACGACAATATTCGAAGGCCGCCCATGTAGGCTCTGCTGTAATAACAAAGCTGCTTGTTTTTTAATTACACTGTTGATATAGAATTACTATAAATTCAAATTATTTTAAATTATATTAAAAATACAAAATGATAACAACAAAAATAGAATGCCAGCTTTCATCTTGATTTACAGTTGTTTTATCTTATTTAAAATCTTGTTTTGTCTCATTTTAAATCATCGTAAGCATCTTGTGGTCCCCTTGGTAGTTTGCTGAGGTTTGCAGTGGTTGAGAACTGCTGATCTATATGCAGAATACAAATGTTAATCAAATTGAATTTCTTTAGAATCATTCTAAAACATTTTGCAGCACCTTTAAAAGTTTAAAGGCCTCCTAGTAGGTCCTGACCCCCCATTTAAGAAACACTGCTTAATGAGACAGTATAGTGAGATATTAGGCACCTTTTGAGTTATACTTAACACCAAGCAATTAGATGTGCTGTTGACAGGGTGACAGAGTGCTGAAGACGGTGTCGGGTAACCCAGGCCTCATCAAGAAAAAAGAAGGCTCATTGTTTTGTTTCGTTCTAAGGAGAAGGAGCTGGACGAGCTCACCCTCCGCTTGCAGAGGGACGGTGTGTCCCCTGAGGCTTCAGTAGAGGAGCGTGAGCTGCACCTGTGGCATTTGCTCCAGCGCAGTGAGGGCAGCCTGAGCGCAGCCACTGAAGTCCTGCAGACTTTACGGACACAGCAGGCCAGCGAGATGAGAGAGGTGAGCCAGCAGATGATCCACCCACCCTAAAGAATAGCTAATGATGGTCTGCATCATCAGCACTGTAACATGACGAGACTGTTTCCTGACTAAAACAAACTGCTTCTGTAGCTAATGCTTCTGCTGTGTTGTGTGGTTGTTTGATGGGTTTTTTCAAGGTGGAAAATTACGTGGAGCATATTCGAAACATGCTGGAGGAGCGGGAATCTCTTACAGCGGAGTACGAACGGGACAGTGAACAGCTCCGTGCTGAGCTCGCTCTAATGAAACACCAACAGGGTGAGTTTTAACATACTTATAAAAAAAAAAAAGATTGTGGTCTAAGTTTGGTCAGTGAGTAGTTTGGTTGCATGCTACTTATACTGTTTCCACATTGTGCATACTTGTGTACTAAATATAAGTATGCATACAGCATTCTGCAGTGTGCACAGTATGTAAATATTCTGTATGCATAGAACTTATAGATCAGCTATTACATTTGTCAAATGTACAGTATATTATAGAGCATGCTGTGTAGAATACTGTATCCCACAATGCAATGTGCTTGGCTGGACCTGGACCTGGAAGTAATATCAGCCATAATTTTCTTGATCTGACAACCAAGACTTAAAGTGTTTTTACCAGTGTTATTTTAATATTATTTGCATACTATTATAGTGTTTTTTATTTTTATATTTTCATTTTAACTTAAGTTTGTTTTAATAATTTTAAGTTCTTTTGTCATTTTTATAATTTTTTTCACATTTATATTTTCTCATTTAGTTTTTTATATTTCTATTTATTTGATTTATTTATTTTTATTTCAGTTTTAGTTTTTTTTAGTACTTCAACTTCAACAAGGCCTGTTCACACCAAGAACAATAACTATAAAGATAACTATAACAATAACTACAGCATATTGGTGTCCTACACCAACAGACATTAATGTTCTGAATATTTAACATGCTGCTGTAATGTTGTCTGTTGCTTTAAATGCTTAAGCTCTTTAAAATCTGTGGATTCTGATTGGCTGTGAATGTTTTTGTTGTTCATCAGCTGGAAAAAAAAATCATTGTTCCTTTGTGTCATTATCGTTATAGTTGTGGTGTGCACTTCCCTATTCTCTCCAAAATTAGAATGGTTATTATAGTTATCGTTATAGTTATCATCTTTGTCGGAAACAGGCCTTTGAACTTACTTTATTTCAGTTAGTTGCCAAGGCAACA